TGTATATGTAGACTTTGAAGTATAAATATATGAACTCATTGCAGAAAGCAGGATACACTCTTTTTTGCTTTGTTAATAAGCGTTTGCATATGTGGATTCCTGTTTTTCAGTTTTGGGAATGTATATACAAAGTAGTTACTATCGTCAGTTTGTGAATGTGCATAAAGTTGGTGAGACTGTCAAGACTGCAGGTACTGACAGTGATGTTGTAGAAGCAGGAATCGACTGTTAGGGATGTGGACTGTACCTGCCTTTTGATCTTCACATCAATAAAGCCCATGCCATTTGCAGAAGCCTGACCAAACACCAGGTCTTTCATTTTGATTTCCTGCTGTTTAAAATTTTGCCTCTTTTATGTTTTCTTCTCTGTAGATCTAGTTCTGTCCTGTCTGTAAAAATGATAGACTTCAAACTGATGTAAGGATATGGTTTACTTTGATTTGCTGCTGTGAAGTAAATGTGTAGCCTTGAACTTGCAATTTCCTAGGATGATAGAAGTATGTAAGAGTTGTATATTTTTTGAATAACCGAAGTACAGAAAAAGAAGTTTTTTTAGAGGACACTGGAAATTACATTTTAATGTTTTCTAACCATCTGGTCATTGTCACCATTATTCTCTTTGTTGTTAACCAACTTATATAATTTTATAAATAAAATACATATAGCTTTTAAAAATGAGAATTAGAAAATACTTTTTATGTACCAAATGGAGCCTAGCTTTCTCTTTTCAACTACCAAACAGGTTTCCTAAATTTTTTTTTTTTTTTTTGAGTTTTTGAAGACAAAAGCTGTTTATTTCAGTTTCCGAAGAATGAAAACTGAAAAACCTATCCAACAGCTGAATGCAGCCTTAATTTTTTCTTTATAATTTTTGGATTTTTAAGCAATTATAAACCACAAAGCGAAGAATGGCCAAAAGGAACCTAATTCAACATATGCAATTTTAGCAATAGACTGCTTGGCACTTGACTTTGCATGGTTAAAAGGAATTAAAAAATATAGAAATGAGGTAGAGTTTTTTGTTATTGGAAATTGACCAAAAATTTGCAGTTCAAAGCTGGAAAATATTAGGGTGAATAATTTTATGTCAGCTAGATTTTTTTCCAGTAGATATCCTCCAATTTTGAAATCTAGTCTGCAATACTCGAAATTGATGTTGTATTTTTAGGTTTGTGCATCTTTCTGGGCATAGCCTTCTTCACATGCATGGGTTGGAACTGACAATGTGCCCAAGAAAGAATGTAGTTTTTGGAAATTATCTCAACAACAAAGGAAGATTTTTTATATAAATTATGTGCATTGTGGGAAAATTTTATATGCATATTTCCTTATGTGTATATCCAATTGCTTGAGCATACTTCGATTCTGTAAATTAAAGTCAATACAATCAAACATATTGGTATTTATTTTCTGTTCCTACTTTAGTAAATCTGTGTCCAGATATACTTGGTGTTATTCAGTTCGAGGCTACATTATATTCAGCATGAAAAGGGCAATGTGGAGTGAGCACGTCGCTATTATATCATCAGATGAGTCTTCTTCCTCAGATTCTGATGCAGAGGTCAGTAATGATTTTGCTGGACAGCAGTCAAATATTAGCACCCCCATGTCTCAACCTGTCAAAGTTATGACACCTGAAGGTATTCTAAGAGGATTGGAACTTCAATCTTTTGTTGTTTGGCAAAAATTATTTACAGATTTATTGTTTGTCAAAAGCAAAAATGGTCAAGGTTTCTTTTCCCTCCTGATAAATTTCATCCAAAACTCGAGCAGCAAAGTGTGCCACCGTGACTTCCTCTGCTAAACCAATGAGGAATACAAAATCTACCCAAAATGGTCAAAGCTTCCTCTCATTTTATATTAACCCTTAAATTGTTTCACTAGCAAGTATCCCTTAAAAATGGATTGACTCATGCACTACTCATGTGTTTAGTCATCGAATACTTTCAGGTTAGTCAGTGTGGGAATTAGGATTTAAGTGCTTTACATTTTATCTTTCATCGAAGAATATAATTGTTGGCAGCAAGAGCACCCTTCCATTTGGAAGTACAATTGGGGAGGAGCCAAATCCTAGGAACTATTTTTTTTTTTTTCATTTTTTTTTTCATGAAAAGGAGTTCCCGGTAATCTATTTGCTCCCAGCAATGCATTGCAATATAAATTGATCAGGAATGATCAACATATGATCAATAAACTAAAGCTATGACTTAAAAGAAAATAATTTAAAACAGGACTGTAAGTTAACATTCATCAGGTTGCTTCTAATGTGGATTAATACATAAGCATATTTGTCTTTATTATCGAGTCAGACATAGAACAGTTGTCTTCTAATAAGTTGTAAGTTGGAATATTTAATTAAATAAGATAAAAATGTTCTTTCCTAAAACTGTTAAGTTGTAAATTGCCGTTACAGCTATTGCTTTTGCAGAGTTGTTGATGTGAAACTATGTAAATTCTGTTGGCAAGTAGATTTTTTTAGCAATGTAGCAATAAATTATTGCCTAAGCTAGCCTTTGTAAATTGCTGCTACAGCTATTGCTTTTGCAGAGTTGTTGATCTGAAACTATGGAAATCCCTGTTGGCAAATAGATATTTGTTTTAGCGGTGTGGCAATAATTATTGTCTAAGTTAGCCTCGGATATTGTCAGAATTTATGATTGCATATTCATTATTTTTTGGACCTCTTGAGTATCTCTTATAAGTAACTTGTTTTATAGATTTTTTATTTAGTATTGCTCAAATATGGTTTTCATCCACTAATTTTACAATGCATGACTATGCTCTGATGCAGATGCACTGATCAAAAGAGCAGAAATGTACCAAGAGTACATGAAGCAAATCCCAATCCCTACAAAGCGCAGCTCAATCATTCCATTTACCACATGGGTGGGATTGGGTACTTCTATTAAACAGTTATATGGCCAACCATTGCATTGCCTGACAAACATACTCCTCAAACAGTGGGACCAATCAAGGTTTGGAACTGAGGATGAACATGAGCAGTTGGACACCATTGTTCATCCCTGTAAAGCTGAAGCCACCATCTGGCTCATTGAAGAGGTCCATCGTCGTGTCACATCACATCACCAAGTAGCTAGAGTCTGGCAATCAGATCCAATGC